GCCACAAGTTGTTTTAATTTTTATTTGTTTTGCTTTTAAAATTTATTTTTATTCTCAAGTATATTTTATTAATTATGCTATTACAGTTGTCCCACTTTTCCCCTTCCCTTTATCCCTCCCTACCTGGCACCCACTTCCCTCCAGCATTCTCCATCCATTAGTCCATGTCCATGGGTAGTACAAACAAGTTCTTTGGCTTCTCCATTTTCTATACTATTCTTACCCTTCCCCGGTCTATTTTGTACTTACCAATTATGCTTCTTTTTTTTAATCTTACATCTTTTTTAAAAAGCATTTTATTTACTTATCTTTAAAGGGGAAGGGAAGGAGAGAGGGAGAGAAATATCAGTGTATGGTTGCCTCTCATGTGTCCTCTGCTGGGAACTGGCCTGCAGCCCAGGAATGTACCTTGACTGAACCCCGATCTTTTGGTTTGCAGGCTTGTGCTCAATCCACTGATCTACACCAGCCAGGGCCAATTATGCTTCTTATTCTCTGTACCTTACCCCCTTGTCCCTCCTCCTTCTTCCCAATAATAACTGTCCATATGATCTCCATTTCTATGATTCTCTTCCTGTTATAGCTGTTTGCTTAGTTTGTTTTTTGTTTTTGTCTTTTAGGATCAGTTGTTGGTAGTTATGAGTTTGTTGTCACTTTACTGTTGGTAGTTTTGATCATCTTCTTTTTCTTAGATAAGTCCCTTGAACAGTTAGTATAATAAGGGCTTGGCAATGATGAACTCCTTTAACTTTACCTTTTCTGGGAAGCACTTTATCTGCCCTTCTGTTCTATGTGAAAGCTTTGCTGGATAGAGTAATCTTGGACGTAGGTCTTTGGATTTCATGAATTGGAATACTTCTTTCCAGCCCCTTCTTGCCTGTAAGGTTTCTTTTGAGAAATCAACTGATAGTCTCATGGGAACTCCTTTGTAGGTAACTTTCTCCTTTTCTCTTGATGCTTTTATGATTATCTTCTTATCTTTAATCTTAGGTAATGTAATTATGGTGTGTCTTGGTGTGTTCCTCCTTGGGTCCAACTTCTTTGGGGCTCTCTGAGCTTCCTGAACTTGCATGTCTATTTCTTTTGCCAGATTGGGGGATGTGTTAAAGTTCACCCTGGTATAAATCCAGAATGTGGGAATGCTACATAACAAACAACTCAGTTTCTATAAATTAACAAATGAATTTAAAAAAAGAAAGAGAGAGAGAGAGAGAGGGAGGGAGAAAAGAGAGCAAGAGCCAGCGCAAGAGGAAGAAAGGAGGGTGGGTGGGCAGGAGTGAGTCAGGGAAGGAAGGGAGAAAGGAAGGAAAAAAGGGAGGGAGGAAGGAAATAGAAATTTACATTTTGCAAGAGACTTAAAGACATATCACCCAATTATCATAGTTCGTAGATTTTATTTTGATCCTGATTCAAAGAAACCAACTGAAAACAATAGGAAATTTGAACACCATTTCATGAAGTTAAATATTTTATATTAATTCACAAATAATCATAATGGTGTTTTGATAATACTTTCAAAAAGAGTCCTTCTTTAGGGAAATATACTGATATAATTACAGAAATAGAATATCTGGAATTTGCTGTCAGTAACGCAGGAAAAGGCCAGTGAGTGTACTAAAAGGAGCTGTAGTTGGTGTCTGTTGCAGCGGGCCAGTGAAGACAGGGATGTTGTGTTGTATGAGTCTGTCTACTTCTGTGTGCTCTTAAAATTCCAGCTCTGGAAAAGGGTGGTAAAGAGGACAGGCCAACCAGGGTGATGGCAGCTAAACACTGTTCATACTGTGATGACGACTGTTCTCCTTTAAAACAGACTTGAAATACAGTGTATACTTAGAGAGATTAGCCATCAAGATAGTTTATTGAAGCTTTTACTTTCTGGTTTTCTCATCTCTACGTTTGTGTTCGCTACTTTCAAACATGTAGTAATGTTTATGCTTTGAAGCCAAAATACATATGTCTTCAGTTATCTTTCATTCCAGTATAGTGATCCACGTGGATTCCTGAAACAAGTGCTCGTATAATCAAAGTAGCTGATATAAAATAATGTCTCTATTTTACTCAGTACTTAAAAAAGTGGCTGGTGCAGCTCAGTGTGGTTGCAGCGTTATCCTGGAACCAAAAGGGTGGAGGTTCAGTTCCCGGTCAGCGCGCATACCTAGGTGGTGGGTTCGTCCCCGGTCCTGGCACGGACTCAGGTCTGGGTGTTTGTGGAGGCGACCAGTTCATGCTTCTCTTGCACTGATATTTCTCTCTGTCTGCTCCTCTCTCTCTCTAACACCGCAAATAAAAATGTCCTCTGTGAGATGGTGATCGTAGACTTATCAAAGTAAAAAAAAAGTTGACGTTTTTATTTCTGGCCTGGCCTGCCTTGCTCTCCCCACATCCATTTCTTATTTTCTTTGTGCCTCCACTTCCACCCCACCGCCCTGCCACACACTTTCCCTTGATGTTGTGTTTTCATAATGTTGAGACTGGGTTGTCTGGGGCCATCTGTTCTTTATCACGTGACTCATCGAAGTGCAACGTCAGCATCGATGCAACTTTCTCCCTCAGGGTACGTTTACCCTGGTACTTTGATGTAGTGGTCTGCGCCCTTGTACTCACTGCTGGAGGAGGCTGTCCATCTGTCCTGTTAGGGCGATGTGATGAAACCAGGCTGAGGTGCTCCCCGATAGAAAGTTCCCTGGCTTTTCCCATTTACGTTATGTACCTTTCCCTCGCCGTTTTCTACCCTCTGTAAAGAACTTGAGGCTTTAAGTATTAGATTTGCAAGAACACTGACACTTTTTTCTGATGTTCTCTTCAGAACCCTGATAAAGAATCCCGGCTGTCTTGTTATATCGTGGACAGATTCTTGTTGCCTTAGTCTGTGTTTGCAATGAAAAATGGGGGGGGGGAGGGCGGTTCCAGGCAGATCCACCCTGAGACCAGTCAGTCCTCCTGTGCCTTTTACATGTCACGTTCCACAACACCCTAAGATATGGAAACTTTATTTTCACCCTTCATTTTAAAAAGATTTTTATTTTTAAAAGTTGATCTTTTCTCTTCTTAGAAAAATAGAGGCCATTCAGGTTCCATTTACGGGCATTTCTTTGGATGCTTCTTATGCATACTAAGGTTTGAGAACAGCGAGTGTGGAGGAAAAGTTATGAGTTTTCCAAATCAAACAGATTCAGATTCGCAACTTGAATATTCTTTGTACACAGCATTTTCTAAGAATTTAGATTCTGCCACCAACACCAGACTAAAGCTGTACAACGATAATCACTACTCTAGTGTAGCTATCACTTCTCTTGCCTTGGTTTTCTTGGCCATCCTCTCCTTCCTGGAGTTACCTGTTCTTCTGGGCTCCGGGGAGCCCACTGTTCATGGCTGTCCGCTTGTGCCTCTGTCACACCTCCTCTGCCCTTGACAAACCCACCAACTTGTGACGAGAGCTGCACATGTCGCACAGCTGGTACTTAATAAGCGTTAACATGCACTGTGAGAGCTGTAATGGAGACACACACAAGATGCTCCTGGACCCACGGGAGAACTGCCAGTAAATGACGAGGGTCAGGGCCAATGTCTCCTGATCGGTGCCCCCCTCCAGCTGGCTGAGGGCTGGTGAATAAGTAAAAGTCAGTCAAAAAAGATTTGCATAGAACAGTATGGATTAATATTTTAAGTAAATTGACCAAAGTCATCAATCAAATAATTTGTTAACTTGCATAAACAAATCATTAACTGATTTGTTATCCTATAATTTTTTTCAGGTAAAAATACATTTGTTTTCTCCAGATTTACATTTTTAGATTTAATTTCAAAGAATCACTTTCCTGTGAAAAGAAAATGATATGAACTGTCATATTACATTTAACTGAATATAAAAATAGTGGTTTTAAACAACTGAATACATTAAATTGGGGTAGATGGGAAATAGTGGAACTTGCTTTATAAAAACATTTCATCTCCAATCATGTCTGGCTGCTGGAAACTTTCTTACACTGCATTTAAAATAATAATCATATAAAGAATTTCAAGAAATGCCGCGGACCAGCCTCGTCAGGAGAGGGGAGGGGGCGGAAATGAGTCAAGGACGCAGGGAGTCAGGTTGGAGAGGTCTCAGCATCCCGCTGAGCCCCGAACTCCGTTTATTCAAGGCTTTTATTACAATTATGGGGAATAAGCAGGAGGGGGCTGTACCCAAGCCAGTTTCTTTGTCCTTTCTGCAAAGCTACTCTACGGAACAACAGGGGCACACAGGGTGCTATCAAAACATCTCTGTTTATCAAGCACCAGTGCATGACCTACCCTTCTACAGGGAAACAGGCTGTCTAGCTTTCTTGGGAGACCTATTGTCTAGCCACAGCAGGTTCCAGGCAGGGAGCCAAGCAAGGTGGAGAGGAACAGTGCCACGGGCAGCGGCCTTGCCAGCTGACCCCGGCCCCCCGGCCTTGCCAAGGGGGGCTTACGGTCACGTCTCCACGAGCAATAGCTATGCCGGCCTGACCCCCTGGCTTTGCCAAGGGGGCTAGTGGCGCCCACAAAGAAAATGTTTACATGGTGCTCCACATTCCTTTCTACATGTTGTGGAGCAAAATCTCTCTCTCACCTTTGAAAATTCTGGAGAAGTAATTTCCTCACTTGGGTTTTCCTCTGTCCATGGGTTACATTTAAAACTTGGCAGCCACAGGCTCGAGTGCACTTTCTTATTTTCTACTTGGGACTACTTAGGAGCTTGAAATATATTTAGAAGCACAAAAGACTTCAAATGAAGTGTAGTTTTTGTTCATTATACAACCAACTTAGACAATTTTGGAAGGCCCACGGTTAAAATCTTCACCTAACATGGGCTTTGTGTCATGCTAATCAAGACTTTTGAGTCCTGGCTGGGTAGCTCGGTTAGTTACAGCATTGTCCCGATACGCCAAGGTTGCAGGTTTGATGCTGGGTTAGGGCACATAGAAGAATCAACCAATGAACGCATACATAATTGAAACAACAAAAACTGATGTTTCAAGACTATACTTTCAGGGATCATTTCTATAGTTCATCACTAGAGAAGTTCCTCTGAAGGTGCAGAGCACCTAAAACCACGAGGAGGAGGCGTAGTGTTCTCTCCTGAGTGTGAGGCTGACTTTTGGTGTTGCTTTTGCAACTGCTAATAGCCACTGACGGTTGCTCTTCTCTTCCTTTGGAAGAGTAAGAGGCAGAGAATGAAGTCTGAGTGGGGAAAAAATTTGATGTTCCTCTCTCTCAAATCAATTAAAAAAACTTTTAAAGTTGCAAGAAAAGTAAAATAGAGACTGGCTTGAACGAAACAGGAAACTTGATAGTTTTTATAACTGAGAAGTATCAAAATGACCCATTTCAGGTGAGGCTTGATCTAGCAGCTTATAGTTTTAGTTTTGCTCAATTATGCATGAAAACAAGCTGAAAGATAGAGCTTTATATAATTTTAATTTTATAAATGATTCACAATAAATACCTATATAAATTGTTTCTAAGGAAAATCAGCAAATGGGACCAATAATCCTTCTCATCCTACTATGTGATATGATTTTTTTCACTCTTAACTGCAAGAGAAGATACTAGAGAAGACATCACAGTCCCTGGCTGGATCCTTTCCTGTAATAGATTTACAAGTGTTCCCCCAGCAGAATGAACATGGGCCCTTATCAGGATCCTGTCCAGCTGTAGAAGGATTTTACTTAAACCTACCTTTATAGTTATTCACTTCTAATAGAATATAATAATTAATTGAAAGCCACCTGTTCTGTTAGGTTATATAATCTCCCAAGTGGCATTTATTGCTTCTTACACAATCCCATAACAGTTTTTTATCACTATTTTTTAACTTCCACATTGTTCTGATAATATTTATGTATTCTTCTCCACAGCCAGGCAAGGAATTGCCTGAGGGCCAGGACAGGATCTGACAGTCCTGGTGCGTGACAGACTCCCACTCATTGGTTGAATGAAACAAGAAATTGTAAGAAAGTGTGATTAACACTTAGTCTCCTGACTCAGGGTCAGGAGTCCCGACTTCCAGTGCCAGCTCCACCATAACTCTCAGCATGACTCAGAGAAGCACTCGCTTCCTCATGTCTTGGTTTCCCAGAGTGTCAAGCAGGAGTAAAAACCATTCCCTGGAGGATCCTCAACGTTATCACATGAGATGACAGGTGTCAAGGTGCTCATCAGGTGTAATGAGGTGATATCACTCATGAGATATGTAAAGGTGAGGAAACAAATGCAGACAGTCTAGCAATTTCCACGGCCTGGAACCAGCATGAGTGTTCACCGAGAACCGGGGAACCTGCATCGTAGTCACCACTCTGTCACCAACACCCTTCACAGCGTTGAGCAATCAGTCTTTCCTGGGCCTTGGTTGTGTTACCCTAAGTTACAGGTTGGGTCTAGCTTGTCTCTGACAAGCCATCTAGCTGTATAGATGTGAAGCCCTTGAGACTCAGGACAATGGGACTCTGGGTGAGTTGACCAATGTGGATTTGCACAGGACATTTTGTGTCATGACATTCCTTAGGTATCCACATTTCATTTAACTTCATCTCTCACCAGCACATGGGCAAACATGGTCTTGAGATTCCTCCCCCGACAACCCTTGGCTTCCACTTTGCAGAATGTTGTAGGGTTCAACAAGCAGCAAATAGTTCCTGCAACATGCACAGGGTGACAGAAACACCACCATGTTCCACTCACACCAAGCTCCATTCTAGGCATCACCTGTGTTTACACAGGAAGAGGGGAGAGAGAACGTTCCAGGTCCTGGGTCCACACACTTCTCTTCCTCAGGCACCACTTCCAAGTCACCTCTGGTGTCAGAGCCTCTCTCAGACCTTAGCCCTGAGCACTGACTCATTCAGCATCGGCTTTTTCCTGAGGCTCTTCAGTGTCACCAGAGCCTCGGTGATTTCTTCTCACACCAACTGAGCAAGGTTGTGGAGATGGCCCCGCTTCTCTCTTTCTGTCAGTCCTCTCCAGCGCTCTAACCCACCCCAGAGGGGAGGGGCTGACACCCTTCCATGGCACCCTGTGGTGGCACAAGTGAGGCTATCTCAGGACAAGTGGGGATTAACTTTGGCCCAGACACATGGTCCCTGCCCTCAAGGAGATGACCTCTCTGGGCTGACACAGGCACAGAAAGAGCAAATTCTAACAGAGTGTGAGGAGTCCCTCAACTGGCCGTTGTGCCATAGCATGGAGAACATGAGCCCATCTCGGGATCCCTCACAAGGATGCCTTTAGGGTGTGACTCCTCAACCCAACCAGAAGACGAGTACCCTCTTCATCCTGATTTTTTAACATACCATGGCAACTGAAGGAAGCAATGTGAGAGTAAACGAAGGTTCGGGAAATAAGGGAGGGCAGGTGTACCTCAGGGGCCACAGCCTGCTCATGGACTGGCACATACCAGCGATGGGCGTGGAGGTGCAGCCGCCGCCTTGCGTGCAGCGTCTCCTTATGTTGGAAGATCAGGACTGCGGTCTCAACAGCAGCTGTTTGCTATTTCAAGTTCCACTTTTTAGCCTGGCCCCACTTTCCGGGGTCCTTTCCTGCATTTCAGAGCTGACCTGGAAACTGGAGATTTTTTACATTTTTGATGTTAACATTGGATGGGATGGACCAGAATTTGAACAAATATATTTTAACAAAAACAAGTGATGTTAGAGTTAAGTACTATGAATGGGAACTGCCAGGCACTAGAGATCAGTGATGCTAAATAAGTGTTTTCCTTCCACAGTCTGGATGAGATACACGTGTGTGGGACAATGACGTGATGAGGCTCCTGTAATAGAAGTGACAGGCAGCATAAAGGAGGAAGAGGACATTCATTTGTGGAGAAGTTTTGTGTGTCCCTCTCCAAAGAGGGTCACTGAGGAGAAGTTGACATTTATACTCTGTTGAGCTATGTGACAGGAACCAGGCAGACAAGGCATCGAAAGGCATTTCAGGCAGAGGGAGGAATTACAAAAATGGAATTGAACTGGGAAACAATGAAGTATGTTGGGGTGGGGTTGCAAGTACCGGGACCTTCGGGAGCTGGGTTCCCAGGACGGGTACAGGGAAGGCTGAGCAGAGGAAGTGAGGCACCAGCTCTGGGAGCCCTGGCAGTGACCAGCGTCCTGGTGCAGGAGGAGAGGAGACAGTGGGAGGCTGGGAGAGGGATGGGGGAGGGGGCAGGGGTGGCCCAGAGGAAAGTCAGCACCAGAGATCCTGGCCAGCAGAGAGCAGCTGCTGTGGCAGATCATGGGGCGCAGGCCGCACAGAGACTGAGCAGGGTCCTGACAGGAGAGACAGTGAAAAGGCACCAGGGAGCAGGTCTCCCCGTTTGAGAGCAGGTGGAATGAGGAGGAGGGAGGGGGACAGACAGCAGGAACCAGAGAGTGAGACGCAGGAGACGAAAAGCTCAGACACGACCTAAGTGATGACAAGCCGCAGAGTGGCTTGTCAGGATAGGACTTTCCTGCAGGGGTGGGGGGGTGATGGTCTCGGAGCCCAGGTGCTAACAGAATGGTGGCAGTAGCAGGTGGACGTACCATCCACATGGACAAATGACTCTCCTGCTCTGAGTTTCCTGCAGGTGGGACAGAGGAGATTTTGGAGAAGTTGCCTAATTCCTCCCTGAAGAACACTGGCCTGACTGAGGGTTGGTAGGAGGCTGTGAGTAGGAGGCAGGGAGTGACAGCAGACGATGGGGGCCCCCAGGAGGGGAGCTGCTGAAGCTTCAGGGACATGCCCAGAGGTGGCCCTGGAAATACAGGTGAGTGCTGACCGGCCTCCAGGCACCATGGAGAGAACCCATCTGTGGGGACAGCCAGCGGGCTGCTCAGACAGCCCCTCTGTCCTGCTTGTTTCTGAAATCCTCAGCTCCGAACACCTTTTCTGATCTGGAAGAGCCCGAGGGAGATGACATGCCCCTCTCTATGGCAGATAAAGGGGACTGTCATTTATCACACTGAGCATGAGCTCTCTGCTCATCCCTTAGTGCCCTCTCTTCCCTGCTCCCCTCTAGTCCTGTCTTCTCACCAGGTGCCCAGAGGGTTTCTGGACTCCAGGACTCACTCAAGCTCCTCATTCCTTGGATCCAATCACCAGATGACTTTCCCCAGACACCCACCTCCCGGCATTTAGCAAACCATCTGGAGGATGAGGTCAGCAGCCAGGGTGGCTCTCTCCCCTCCACAGGGACACCCACAGGCTAGAACACACGCAGGTGCTCAGGACAGGACACAGCCCAGGAGCCCAGCACAGGACAAGGGATCCAGTCCTCTGGGCAGAGCCGAGAGTCCTGTTCACAGTGACAAGTTCCCACATGTCCCTAATGCCCTCCATGGAACCCCTGTTTCAGTGGTGCCATCACCTCTGTCCCCTCAGGGTCATGCTGGGCAGGAGCGGGTGGGCTTGGGGCACCCGTGGCTCAGACCTCGGCTCCTGCTCACTGCAGTTCCACGACCGCCCGGGGCGGATCCACGCTTGAGGAGGAAAAGCGTGGCCGGGGCCCCGCAGAATGCTCTGTACTGCGCACCTCTGGGGCCGGGCGTGTTGGCTACACTAGGGAGCGGGGCAGAGGTGGTCGCAAGGCCCTGCTGAGAGGGGTGGCCAGTGAGGCTGAAGGCCAGAGGAGGGCTCCCCGCTGGCACCTTTTAAGGGCCAGTGTAACCCATGAAGAGTCCACAATGAGATCACCAAGAAGTGGCAGTTTTGACAGCATAAGTAGCCAAAGAAAAGCAGGAAAAGGCCGTATCTGGGAGAAGGAGACACTTTATTGTTTGTGGGGGGTCTCTGGAGGCCTGGGGCTGGGCGGGGCTCACTGGTGTCCCCCAGAACTGGCGGTCACTTTGTGGCTCTGATTGTGGTATTCCGTGGCTATGTCCCCCGACCAAGGACAGAAACTCAGAGAACTGAATCTTCTTATCCTCATTCTTGTCTTTTTCCTCAAAGATGTGGGACAAGTAGTCTTTGCCCTGATTGTCCTGTGGGAAAGACACAAAAGAAGGCTGATTTAGTCCCCAAAGTGTTGTGGGTGGAACAGGAGATGGAGGCAGACACAGGGAGAGAGGCCCTGGGGCCACACAGGTGCAGCTGGTGCAGATGAGGGGAGGCTAAATGGGGGTGGCGGGCACGTCACCCTGCAGTCCCCTGAGGGAGGTTCCTTGTCACCATGAACCAGAGAGCTGCTGGTGGTGAGCAGGCCCTGCCCAGAGCCA